GGAGCTTCTTGATTTCTCTTCTCAAGCTTCCAGCCCATTGGACTAAGTAGCTCCTGCAACCTGCCTTTCCAGGGTGCAGACTTTCACTGTGGATGCTTCTGCCTCTGATCCTGTTAATCTACCTGGTAAATTCCCTTGTTTAGTTTCTCATGCATGTGTATTAATAAATATTTTTTATTGCTTCTGTTCCTCTAAGAACCTGAAAGAACACAATGCCACCTCTGGGAAGTCGCTGTCTACAAGTCTTCTATATTTCATTTCAGAGCCTAAGACTTCCATTTAATAGTTCCCAGGGAGTGTTTGCCTAAGATGTAGCATTCAAAATGTCAGAAGCCACATGAATGGGAAAACATGGGTGTGATGTCAAGTCTTTGATTACTGCATCTCTAACATCTTTTATTTTTGATTATATTGCTGGCAAAAATAGAATTTCACTTCAGTAGAAGTTGTTATGGCATTTTTTATTACCTTCCTGTGTTGGAAAGAGACAGTTAATTTCTTTCACTGATATTTGATTTTCTTTAATATTTCCTTTTGATTTTAGTCTCACAAGGAACAACAGAAAAGCTGCTGTCTCGTAGACATATTTAAAAGGTCAAGACTTAAGATAAACCTCCAAGTGCATGCCTACAAAACCAGAACTTTGGAAGGATGAGACAAGATTATCCCAAGTTTGAGCCCAAGATGGGGAGGCACATGTTTCATGCTATGATGTAGTAGGTAGGAATCGACTGGTTCTATTCCTTCCCTAAAGCATGTTGGACAAATCTATGGCTTTTTCTCTTCCACTCAATATTCTCTAAGATATCTTATCTGGTATTTCACTCAAAACATGTCAGATAGCTCCTTCTTATTTTTTAACCCCACCTCTAAATAATACCAAAGCTTTTCATTAAAAAAGTTTTTGATAGCTGATAAACAACACCCAAGGTTCTCCCTAAATTGTTGATTATTTCAACCTCTAGTTTTTCTACATTTGTCTACCTCTTGAGTGAGAGAAATCATGGAGTCCAATGTCATTCCTCATACATGAACCAATGTGGACATATGATTTTTTATATCAAATTTTGTTTTCTGAGTTGATTTTCATTATGCGTCTAATCAACTCATTTGGCCACCAACATATTGTGCTTTAATCCCCCAAAATAGTTCTCTCTGTCACACACACACACACACACAGCTACCATGTTGATATGTAGATCTCAGCTTTATCTTTTCATTTTAACAATAAAACTTTCATTTTCCCTACTGTATCCCCTCATCGAGGTTGAATGATTCTGTCTTTATTTGAACATCTATCAAAAGGTTACATGTGCAGTTCAAAGTCAATTACTTAGCCTGTCATTTGGATCCCATGGAGAAATGATCCATGGAAATGTAAATAAATTGGTAAAATCTGTAAGGTAGGAAAAAGTTATAAAGGAAACAGCCTCAGTTTAATAGATCATCATCTTAATTTATACTAATAGTCTCACTTTCAGCAAGACTTGATTTGTCTTAAAGGGGAGCTATAAAATTATTATATTTCAGAAAAAAATACTTGTGTTTCATAAAACTATTATGTGGCAAAAACTGGGAACTCATGTCTAGAGTATATAAAGAATGCAAAAAAACCTTGTAGCCTCAAAAATAAAAGGCCCAATAGAAATGGGCAGTTGAAACAAATTGATACTTCAAAAAGGAAGGAGTAAAAATGGCCAAGGTAGACATGAACAAGTGTTGCGCATGTCTGACCATTACAAACTTGCAAATTAAAGCAATAATATTATATCTTACTCTAGAAAGAATAGCTTTCATCAAAAGCACAAAGAAAAAAAATGCATGCGGTGTTGTGGGGTAAAAGGAACCCCACATTATTGATGTAAACAGGCACAGTCACTAGGGAAATCAGTTTGAAGATTCCTCAGAAAAATTAAAGACAGAAACTTTACTTAACCCAGCTACATGTCTTACGGGAATCTTTCTGAAAGACTTAAAGATGGAATTTATGGTGACCCGTGCATGTCCATGTATAAAGCAGCACAATTCATAATAAGCATATCTTGGAAATGCAATATAGATGCCTTAACAGAAAAACAGAGAAAGAAATATGGTGTTTAAGCATGATGGAATAATACCCTGCTGTAAAGAAGGATACATTTGAATCCTCTGTAGGAAAAAGGATGCACCTTGATATGATAATATTAAGTGCCATACATCAGACATAGAAGGATAAATATCACATGGCTTCTCACATGGAAACAAGCCCAAAGCACATATAACTTAAAGAACAAATGAAAGATGGATGATGGAAAACAAGCGGATAGACTTTCAGAAGATGTCATGGGAGTATGAGGGTTGGGGCAGGTGGGAGGGGAAGGCGGAGAAGAAAGGACCAGGCTGTGATGTGCATGTGTGCCGACGCCCTATCATGAGCGTAAGCATTACGTACTCCAAACATATATTACTTAAAAAATTAAAGATATGTCCAACGACTTTCCCCAAACATGTTATAGGGTTTAATGACACACACTTAACTGAAGAAAGTCTGCATTTGCATTTTAATGTATCTCCCTATTACACGGAAGCAGAAATGGAAACAGTTGAGCCAAATAGGTCAAGGCAGAAAAAACAGATGCCGCAAGTATCCAAGTGAAATTGTGAACTGCAAATGTCCTGGATTCCTATGTCGCTGTCCGCATTGTAAAATACGGTCGGTATGAAGGAAGGCACCGTTTCTAGGGGAAATCACCGCGACACCCAAATTCCCATGTGTTTTTTTCTGAGCGTTCATTCAGTTAGTGAATAATTGGTAATTAATACCTAAGCCCCAATTCTTTCTCAAGTTGGCATAATTAAGAAAATATCCCACTCATTTACTGACCCCATAGTTTGCTAGATGATGATTCTTTGTGCAAACACAGCAGCACACAGCTTTGAGCCTTTGCCAGGAAATTCCCATATTTACATGCATATTATGGGGAGATCCATTCTGTTCTTTGGGCCCCTATGTGATTTCTGATTTGCGTCACAAAAACTGATGCACGGGTTGCTTTGTAAAGCCTCAAGAACTCTAAACAAGTAGAGATGGGGTTCCTATTAAATTGATACTGTTTTTTCTTTTCCATTAGGCAGCATTTCTTCATTTGTTTTCTTATACTCCCCGATTCCAGCGCAATACTGAAGTGCGAGGCAGTGGGGAAAGCGGTTCTTTTCGCGTCTAACCAGTGTAATCAGTGCCTACCGATTTTGCTTCCCCGGTGGCCTGGTGTGCCCCAGGGTCCTGTACTCGGGGCCATGCACCCTATCTGAAGTGGCTCCCTCGTTTCCAAGGTTGGCTCTACACAATCACAAACCCAGAGACACTGTGAACACATCCCACGCGTTAGGAAAGCAACTGAAACCCTTGGCTCTTGTTTTGAGGTTTACCGGTCTCCCTACCCCGTTTCTGCCCCTCCTCTTTCAGTTCCTATTTGGAGCGTTGAGTATGAGCTGTGTTACCACCCAGGTGGCCTCCGGAATGACGACTGTTACTGGTTTTGAGCACTTTCCCTCATTTTCTCACAAGAGCACCAAGGAGGTAGTCAGGGGCTGTTATGCAGTCAGGCAGCTCGGCAAACTCCTTGGTAAGACAGCATCCAATATCATCTTAGCTCCATGAATCACACAAAGATCTGGACTTCACAAGATAATTATGGGCTCTGGCACCATAACCATGGGGCAGAGCGCCAGGAGCCAAGAATAAAATGGAGCAACGCCATTCATTTTCTTTCCACGTGCTCTCCTCTGTGATACCAGTGCAGTGACGCTCAGCCTCTTTCTGGTTGTTTTAGGCACTTCCATGGAGAAAGAACAAATATGGTGGGAGCCACACGATTTGGGGAATCGTGAAATAAGTGGAATCCCTTATTTCAGGCTTTCAACCAAACCTAACTGAAAAACATTGTCTAAGGATTGAGTCAGAAAAAAATAAAGAGAGACAGGGGAAAATGTACCCATAAAAAAACGGAAATGACACATGGAAGCTCTATGGTAGCTATGCCTATAATTCCCATGAATGACCACTTTAAGTTTTAATAGGCTTTCATTGTCAGATATTCTTTTGCCATGCCCAAAAATGGCACACATTAGAAGTAACTGAGAAGTGTGATACCTTTCATCAAGTCGTCATGAAAAGATTAAGTTTTAAATACTCACACCCAAAGACATGCAAAGTGCTCTAGCCTTAGACTAATTTAACATCCTGAAATTTTTAAGAAAGATTTTCCTTGCTCTTCTATAAAAAAGAAAATGAGCATTTGTATAAGTGAGCACTTTATGACCTCACACAGCTGGAGTCCTCTGGCTATACACCTTTGCTACTTGGTTAGAGTTAAAAGAAAATGACACCAAAATTTAGTTTAACAAGATGGATTCTAAACAAAGAAATCCAGTGACTGTTTTTAAAGATTCATTGTTTGTGATTGTAAGACAATCATTTTGCCTTCCTTTTTGAGATTCAATAAATACATAAATGAATAAATAAATAAATCTTATGTCCTTAAGGCACAACCATTTCATTTCCTTTTCAAGATGAATCAATCATCAATCAATGTGCTAACATCTTAAGTCTTTGAAGCAGAAAGAACCTTTCCTTATGTCTCTCAGTTTGCAAATTTGAGAATCATAATGTGTTTAATCCTATCACTGTATAGATTGGCTTCCTTAGGGACGATTCAGCATAAGCCTGTAACACTTTACATGTTCCCACTGAGCAGCTCTGCAATGCAATCCTATTACTGTGTGAAGACGGTCTCCAAAAATAATTCAAGTCATATAATTCTAGTTTTCCTCTTCCTCTGGGTAAAGGCAAGTCAAACACATTAGGTTGCTGTGATACCGCTTTGGGGAGTGGAAAAAAACAAACAAAATGAATGGGTAAAGATAACACCGTGCACGTGATGTTGTACAAGCTACATGGCGCATCTGTCTGGGCCCAAGCAAGCCTGAGCTAGCTGCCTCATGTTAAGGAAAGCACTTACCATCTTCAGTGGGCACATAGATGTTCAAGTAAAGGCAGTCTTCGTTTTGATCTTGTACGTAAGTCATCAAAGTATCCAAATTGGCTGTAAACCAGATGGGCAGCATGTCGTGCAACAGAGACCTCTCGTCCAGATGTTGGGGGCACACACCTGCAAACTGAGTGGCATTGCGAACCCCAGTCCATGAGGATGGAGGCTCAGGAGGCTGAAACCGTCTCTCTCCTGTGGGAGGCGAGGCATAGGGCACCCCCAAGTATTGCTCCACGGGACCCAAGATCTCATTGGGCAGTGGTGTTCTTAGCCCCCGGATTTTGCCATAATTTGTGTTGACAACTGGGTACTGTGCCTGGCTGTCAGTCAGCGTGAACTTGACAGAGAGAGCTGTTACCCACAGGAGAACCTTGGAGCTGACCATCACGCAGACAGGGGTGCAAAACAACGGGAGCCATAAGAGTCCCCTGGGCCTCGACATTGTTCTCTTCCACATGTGCAGGTGTCCAAGGGAGAGGGCTCCAGAGGAGCAAAGCCAAAGGCGGGTGCCAGGCCAGGCGCTAGGAACAGAGTGAAGTCAAGGGAGCAGAACACCCAGAAACCAAGGACACGGGGAGAAGGCCTCTCTCAGTGCTCATAGACAGAGCCGCATGTTACGAAGCAGGGTGGTGCTTTTCATGGCAATCCATGGCTCAAGAGGATCCCTCTGCAATCCTGCCACCAGATGCCTCCAACTGCAGTGCTCCGGAGCGCGGGGGCAACCTTCCAACACCTCCTGCGGTCCAGGACTCCTTATGAAAACTCCAAAGCGCCCTAGAAGGAAGAGAGGAGAAAGAGATTGTGAACGCAAAGCAGCCACCACCTGTCCGTGGCCTGCAAGTCGCGAGAACCTTCCCTGAAATTCAAACGCAATGGTGAGCTTGAACAAAAGCTAACAAGGAGAGTCATCTTGGCCATTCACCCTGTCTCCATGAACAATGCCTGATATTTAGGAAACATGCAACCAGTTCTTTTGGAATGGATTCTCAAAAGTTACAAACTGTCCCCTCATGACTAAAGATTCATCCCGATTTACTATGCTTTGTAAGAATAGTCGATCAATAGGTAGATATTCCACAAATAGGGTTTTTCACATGTTCAAGGTAGATATTCCACAAATAGCGTTTTTCACATGTTCAAGGAAATTGTCCTTCTTCCCCAGGAGGATATCACGGAGCCCTAAAGACTTGCCCAATGTAGGGAAAATGGAAATATGCACTAGGGCCAACCTGGATTTTGGGAGGTGTGAATATTTAGCAGATATCACAAAATGTGCATCATTTAGTGGAAAGTATGTAAACCTTGGACATTAATTCACATTGGTCTGTTCAATTTAATATTTAGGGAGTACATTTCATTGCCCTGAATCTGAGCTTCTTCAAAAAAAAAATCTCAGTAAGATAGTGCATTTCATTCTTATTTTTGAGGCAAGGTCTCATTATGCTGCCCAAACTAGACTTGAAGTTGAGATCCTTCTGCCTCAGCCTCCCTACTAGCTGAGATTCCAGGCCTGTACCGTCACACCAGGTAAGATGGTTCATTTCAAGCACATGCGGTAGAGCTTCTCACTTGACCTCCTTCATGACTAAAAGTGCTGATGCTGTTATGCTGACTGACACGTATGTTATTTAACACCTCGAATGGTATACTCATCATGCTGCAGTGTTTGTGAAAAGGAGGCACTGCACTGGAGTTATGCTCTGTTATGGTTCCCCTCTACAGGGTCCTTCCAAATTCTCATATGTTTGGAAGAAGGTTGGATCAGGGGTCTCTATGGACAGGTGCAGCAGCTGAATGTGCTGTTTGGAAGCACAGCCTGGTAAGAAGAGGTTGGCCACCAGGGTGTGACCTCAAAGCTATGTATCCCTCCTGGCCCCTCCTTTCCCTCTCTGATTCCTGACCACAGTGATACCAGCAGCTCTTTCCCGCCCAAGGACTCCACCATGCCATTTCTGCCCTGGAGCCAGCCCCCTGTGGAGGGAGCCAAAATAAACCTTTCCTCCTTTAAATTGTGGTTGCTGGGTGTTGTGTCTTAGTGACAGGAAAGTGACTAGCACGCCCTCCTGTTGGCCCTGGAGGAGCAAACTTTCTAAGCGTCACCTCCTCCACTTGTCTGTACATAGGGGATTTGAGCATCCTCTTATAAATCCCCCGCTCTTTTGGCAATGGAGAACATTGTACACCAGCACACAGTACCACAGTATGGTAATCGATCTCTTCTTCTGGCTCATAGGGATGGAGAACATTCCCTCATGTGTTGCAGAGGATCTAGACCCTTAAAAATAGTGTTCTTCAACTGCAAAATAGACACACATGCTTAAAAGTATCTTGTGGGTGTTTTGGGGCACTTCTACACTAGGCCATGAGTACGTGTTTCTTTCAGTTGAACAGTGGAGCTGAATAGATCAAAAAGCTATCTTTTAAAAAAGTAAAAACATTATCACAGCTGGATCTATCCAGCAGCCATCACACATGCCACTGGGGCGTACCCTATAGTATGTTGCATACAGGACATGGCGAATCAGAACTGAGTGCAAAGGCTCTGAACATCGGGACTGTTACTTGGAAAATGACTAATAGTACTCCACCAAATGGGCAGTTTATATGTTTGCTTCTATCTTTGACTTCTCCCGTAGACAATATTTGGTTGTCTGCCAGGCAGTGATCCAGTTTCTGCATAATTAAGACAGACGAGAACAAGAAAGAGGTGATGACACAAGTGGGAACTTCAGCTTTCCTGAAATCCTGTCCGGTTTTAAACCAGGGCTCCTGTTTATTTTGCAACCTTCCCTATGGTAAGAGGAAACATCATTTACTGAACTCAAACCCTAATTAAAATCTGAGTCCTGGGTCCTGGAATTATTTTTCTGTGATCAGAAGGAAGTGAGTATACACCTAGATGGATTTTGGATCAAATAGTGTGTCCCATCTGGAGACCAGGAAATAGTTGCCATATGCAAAGGGCACATGGCGTGAGATATATTAAATAATGTACTTGGGGTTTAAATGCTGACCTGGTCAAAAGAAGGCTGTGTAGAGGGACACAGTGTCAAGCCCTAGGGGCTGTCAACAGTGTGTGATGAGTAGGCTTTACAGAAGCTCATTTAATTTCTTTGGGTCTCACTTCTGTGTTTAAAGCTTTTTGAGATGAAATGAGAAAGTTCACTCAAAGTAACACAGGATTCTAGAACAGACAGTTCAATCAGGGTAGCATTTAGTGGGTGACTTTCTCCAGGTGATTATTAAAAAGCCAAATTTATCCACTCCTTAAATTCTTGAACTCAACTTGGATGAGAATATCTGTAAGTCACGTAGGGCTTATGACAGACCAAGCTGGGTTGCAGGGAGGCTTCAGGCTTGGAGCTGCAGGACAAAGATCTGTACAACTCTGTATCTCCAAAGGTTCTGGGGGACAGGTGCTTTTAAGAGGTGGGGCACTACATTTCTTCACACATAAAAAATCTAAATTGGGCATTCATAAGATTCACAAGTTAAGCAGTACACTTTTTAAAATTTGCTCATATTTTTTAAAATCAGCTAACTTGCATGAAAGCAATATCATCTAAGCCCAGTGTTTCTCAATACCTGCACAGCTGATATTGCGAACTACATTGTTTGTTTTTTGTTGAGTGGACTCTCTCCTATGCCTTCTAGGGTGCTCTGTAGCAAGTCTGGCCCCTAACAAGTAAGTGTCAAGAGCACTACCCAAACAGTTAAAATAAATAAAAGGCCTCTACCTATTATTAAATGACTGCTGGAGGACAAAACCACCTCATGATGAGAACCACAGATTCAAGCATTCAGAAAGGGACTATCATGGTGATCTAAATGATTAAGTCTGTGAGTCCACATAAAGATCATAATAAACTGTGTGTGTGTGTGTGTGTGTGTGTGCTCATGTATATATGCCATATGAAACTCTTGCCAATGTTCCGAGTTTTAGCATTGTAAGAAATGTGGATCTGTGATGGTGAAACTACTGGTTGTGCCCCAACATCATTAAACAATAATTTAAATATAGTCAGAAAATACATCAGCAAAGAAAATAAGATTCTATGCGAGGTTCACAAATTGGAAAGTATTTCTTGAGAGCCTAAATGTTATGGATAGAAAGAAAGAAAAAAAGAAAGAAAGAAAGAAAGAAAGAAAGATAGATGACAGATAGATGGGATGGATGGATGATACATAGCTAGCTAGCTAGATGGTGGACAGATAGATGGATACGGTGGTTATATGGGTGGATGGATAGATGACTGATAGATAGGTAGATGGATAGATAGACAATACATGACATGAATTAGATGATCAGTACCATATAGATAATAGATAGATGGATATGGTGGATGGACAGATAGTTGATAAAGAGATAGTTAATGGAGAGATGATAATGTAATTTAGATATGGAGAGATAGATAATATATAGATGACAGATGAGATTGGAGAGAAGTGATGTAGAGATGATAACAGACATATAATTTAGATATAGATATATAATTTAGATATAGACACATTTTAATTTAGATATAGGGAGATTTTTTATTTTCCAAACAGATACATTTTTAATTTTCTCAAAAGAAGCAGTGGGCCTGACTAAAGGAATCTCCCAAATTCTAATGAGTAAAGAAAAAAAAATAGTGAAAAAGGAATAACTCTCATTGCGTTGAACATTCACCATTCAGGAGTGAAGACTGATTGAGAGTATGTTTACTCTGCAAAAGTTGCCCAAGATAGTGACAACTCAGAATGGGCTTTCAACTTGATTTACAACTTATTTGGGGATTTGAGGATGATTCTCAGCAGGGCCATTGTTGTGTCTGAGGTTGCAGCTAACACAAAGCTCAAATTATTCAGGACTGTCAGAACAAAAATCGTTAGAAAGCAAAACAGCAATAACTTCAGCCCAAAAGTGAGAACTGTCTTAATGGAGATGGGTTAAATTTTAAGTTGTATATTTAAGATAAGCCCTGATCAAATAGACTTTGGTACTTGGGTGTTATAATGAAGAAAATCATATCTCCTGGGTGTTCACAGCCTGAGTTCTGCAGCCTGGAATTAGGAAACAGAGATGCTGTGAAAACGACAGGATGCATCACTTGAAAGTTCCTCTCCTGTATGACCCTCCTAGCCACAGTGGCCAACTGGTCTACCACCCATGATGGGCACAGTGAAAATCCACTTTCATTTCTCATTCGTTCCCATCACTGGGGAAAACAAAAGCAAAAGCTGCTGACCCTCACACCATTCCTTCTGAGGTGTTTCTCGTGGAAGTCCACAACAGCTCTTTCCAAAACTGTGCACTCTGTGGACAGGGGTGCTACTGTTTTGGTTGGGTGCAACATTTAATGGCACCTGGGCTGAATGTGGTTTGTCTATGGTTCTGAAAGCCAGAGCTCTATGTTGATGCAGCCAAATGTACCTGTTACCTAGGTGAATATCCTGTTTTCTGTTCAGGGATACACACACACACTCACAAACACACATAGTCACACATATCCTCGATCTGTATCCATGACGCAGTCAAGGCCAGAAGCCAGCCTGTTCTTACATTGTTGTGTCTATTTAATATTCCGGTATTAACTTCCTCTTCTACACAAACAAGGTTCCAACCTACTTTGTCGTCCATCAGATCTTGAAGCCATTTGCATATTCATCTAGCAGTATCCCTTTTAACAATCAGATCTCATAAAAATTGTACCACTTGGAACCTAGGCATCAGCTATAAATTGAAGGAAGACATGAAGATGCCAAATGTTGTGCCCCTCAAGGTGACTTTG